TCTATTTAAGAGCTAACATCGAGCTCTCAAAAACCCTAGATCCTTCAATGGAGGCGATGAGGGAGACCTCTGGATCCCGATCCAAATCTCTCAACCTCGCCCTCTTCATTACTAGGGTTTTGTTTCCTCCAATAGAAACCCTAGAAAAGATCTCGGAAGGATCAGAGATTTAAATGTCATCTCAGAAAGCTAGGGCCTGCATTCAATCAGCTCTCTGCTCGCTATGATGCCTACATTTTTGCTCGTTTTTTAAAACTCTTTTTGATTTTCTTTTAGGGAAGATTTCTCCTTTTAAGTATTTAGGGAAAATTTTGCTCATTTGGTACATCTGTGCTTGGTTTATAGAAGAAAAAAAATCAACTAGGTTATTCCGTGCTAGGAGCGCTGTAAAAATTTAGAATTTTTCTGATATTCTTTTGTGTTTAAATTCATTTAAAATGGGAGAAATTATTATTATGTTCTCCAAAACTGAAAAATAAATCTAAACCCCTTTAGTAAGCGGGGAAATATCTCGAAGTCATTTTATCTATTATTAAATTTTAAATTAAATTGTGATAGATGTATGACTATGGGCATGACTAAAACCTTAATAAGATGAAATATAATTAACGGTTTGGGTACTTTTATTAATTCCTTTTTAAACACTTGTACCCATTCATTTTCCCTCTCTGGTTTTCAGTATTTTTTTCCTGTCTGTTCAATAGCAAGAACTGATACCCTCTTCCTAAATGCTACTGGTTTTAGGTAAATTCTTGGATATACTCTTATTTTCTTTTAATTTTATAGGAAACTGCTATGTGGGTTTACTCAAAAATATAATATCCTAAGTGGTTTTTCTCAAAGCTTTCTCCTATCTCTTACAATTTCATCACATTCTTTCTAATTCCAGGTAAAGAAGTAATCTTTTTTCTTCTTTCTCCCAAATTAATATGTCTTGTTTGATTAAGATCTCTTGTTCTTGAAATTTTATTTTAAATTTTCTTCAAATTTTATTGATTGAAATGTTCTGTTTCTCTCTCTCTGTTCAATAAAAAGAACTGTTACCCTCTTCCTCATTGCTACTGGTTTCAGGTAAATTCTAGGATGGAATCTTATTTTCTTTAAATTTTGTGGGAAAATGCTATGTGGGTTTACTCAAAAATATAATATCCTATGTGGGTTTTCTCTAATCTTTCTCCAATCTCTTACAATTTCTTCACATTCTGTCTAATTCCAGGTAAAGAAATAATCTTTTTTCTTCTTTCTCCCAAAATTAAATGTCTTATATGATTAAAATGTTATGTTCTTCAAATTTTATTGTAAATTGACACCTTGATTCTCTCCAAACTTTGATATCTTAACTGGGTTTTTTTTAAATATTCTTGTTTGTGCAGAAAATTTAGTCTCAGCCTAATTTTTCCTAAATTTCAATGCATTCTTGATCAAGAACCTGTGGTGTCTTTTGTTGATTAAGGTAACATGGCTTAAAATTTTATAATAAATTGATACTGTTATTCTTCCCCAAACTTTATTATCTTTTTTTGATAGCTCCAAACTTTAATCTCTTAACTGGGTTTTCTTTGATCTTTCTCATTTGTGCAGAAAATCTCGATCAAGAACCTATGGAAAATGTCAAGGATCAAAACTCTTCCAAACCTTCCCACCGTCATTATGTTAAAAATTGCCCGCTTAGGGAAACAGTTGAAGGTCTCTGGTCTTCTGCAGGCGGGGTGTTAAACTGTGAAGAATGTCAAAAGCAAAATACTCCAAGTGGAAACTATCTTATTGCTTGCTTGAATTGCCACAGAATCCTCTGCAAATTTGACAGTGGTTCTGGGTTTATTGGTCATATCAAGGACCATGAAATTTATTGCGATGCAATAAAAGATTCTTGGTTGGGTACTGTCCTGGTTGGTAAATGGTGTTATGCCTGTACTTCTTTTCAACCAAGCGAGAAAGTGGAGAATAAGGAATGATGGACATGGAGCAAGAAGATAAAGAGGAGGTAGAGTTAGAAAAGGATATCAACAGCAAAGTGATGGCCATGAAGCAAGAAGACTTCATAATTTCGTCTTTTGAGAATATGGCAGGGCATAGAGTTAGACGAATGAAGAACCTTGGGAATACCTGTTACTTTAACTCAGTCTTGCAAAATCTTCTGTCCATTGATCGGTTAAGGGTCAGTTTGCAAATCTGTTCTCCAAAGTTGGACTGTGCAGATCGCCCTATTACCAGGAATTTGTGGAGTCTTTTCCTCAATGCTGATACTACTAATGATGCTTTTGATCAATTATATCTTACAAGTCTCTTAGATTCTATACGTTCAATAGCACCAGAGTTCCGTGGCAACCAACAGCAGGACAGTCACGAATTTCTCAGGCGTTTCCTTAATGGTCTCCAGGAAGAAGAAAATGGTTGGGTGAAGGATATTTTTGAAGGCAGTCTTTCTAGTACTGTAACATGTGATCATTGTGGGCATATTTCGAGAAAAATTGAACCATTTCTTGATCTTTCTCTGTCTCTTCCTTCAACTGAAAGTGATGGAGTTGTTAGATCCAAGGAACATGTTTTTCCTGCAAGAGAAGTGGGAGACCAGGACGACCAAATTACTTCAGGATTTTTTGAATATAGAAATACTGGTCCAAGGTCCTTTATATTGCGGAAACGTAAAACATGCAGTGTCTTAGCAATGGATAACATGGACCTGAATGTGCATGATGGAGATGCAAATAAAGGATATAATGAATATCAAAAAGATATTTGTGGAAAACGCCCTTCTGAATTCAATCGAGATTCAGGGGAAGGTGTTGAATTAGTTGAAAGTCATCAGAAAAAAGTAGAAGATCTAGGAGAAGTAGAAGACCCAGAAGAAGGAGATGACCCGGAAGAGGAAGTAGAAGACCCAGAAGATTGCTGTGGACATCATCCTTGTATATGCAATAAGCATATTGCTGCTGCATTGCCTGAATGCCGACAGAATGACCAAATAAAAGAAAAAGATGAAGATCCAGAAACAGAAGAGGAAGAAGACGCAGAAGATTGCTGTGGGCATTATCCTTGTATATGCAATAAGGATTCAGGTGAAACTGCTGCATTGCCTGAAAGCCAGCGAACAGGCCAAATAAAAGAAGACCCAGAAGATTGCTGTGGGAATCATCCTTGTATATGCAAAAAAGACTTAGGCGAAATTGCTGCAGCACCAGAAAAAGACAAAGATCCAGACGCAGAAGAGGAAGAAGACCCCGAAAATTGTTGTGGGCATCATCCTTGTACATGCAATAAAGACTCAGGTAAAATTGCTGCAGTAACAGAAAAAGATGAAGATCCAGACATAGAAGAGGAAGAAGACCCAGAAGATTGTTGTGGGCATCATCCTTGTATATGCAATAAAGACTCAGGTGAAATTGCTACAGCACCAGAAAACCTGCAGAAAGACCAAATAAAAGAAGAAAAAGACGAAGATATGGAAGCAGAAGAGGAAGAAGACCCAGAAGATTGCTGTGGACATCATCCTTGTATATGCAATAAGGATTCAGTTGAAATTGCTGCATTGCCTGAAGGCCAGCAGAAAGACCAAACAAAAGAAGACAAAGAGGAAGCTGACCCAGAAGAGCCAAATGGTTGCTGCGAAAAGCAAGTATTGGTGAGTAACGAAGAAGACCTGCAAGAGAACCAAGGGAACTTAACAGTAGAAGAGTTTACTTTTGCTTTTGAAGAAGCATGGAAAAATGACAATCTGGATTTTTATAGAGCAGTGCTCTCTGGTCCTGAGGTATCAAATGTGCAGGATGAAGGCGAATCTCTTATTAGAAAGAGAAGATGCAAAGACCTAGAGCCTATCCTTGATTTTACAGATGGAATGCAGAGTGCTGACACAAATGGTAACAATTTAACAATTGAGAGGTGCTTGGAATTGTTCACAGAACCAGAGCCTGTTGAATATACATGCGAGCATTGTCCCAATCGTTTTCAACCCCCATATGAAGGACGAGGTAAAAGAAAAGGAAAGGGAAAAGGAAAATTAAAACCAGAAACATCTGATTCAAACAGGAGACTCGAGATGGGGGGCAAGAGAACGTTACTTCTCGCAAGGATTCCACCTATCCTAACGATTCACTTGAAAAGATTCAAACAAGATGCACATGGCACCATCTTGAAAATAGATAACCACATTAAATTCAAAGAAATGCTTGATCTTACACCATATGTGGATCCTAGGTACTATTCTGAAGCCTTTGGTGATTGATTTATCTATTACTCAACGGTGATGCTCATAGAACAGTTTGGTGCATTCATTTTTGCCTTTGGTCATCAATATACAAGTTATTCATGAACCTAGATGTTTTAATTTTTATCATGTTATCTAGCAACATGGTACAATCTTTGTCAGGGATTGTCATGTCCATTCTATAACTAGACCATTAATTCTGAGACAAGAAGCAGAAACACTTGATATTGCTGTAGCGCGCTCGCATTTTCTATTCAAGGATTCATGAGAAACATTGGAATTTGTTCTCTAAAATTCAATTTTTACGCTTGTAAGCATCAGAAAATTTGAATGTAATGCAAAAGAGAGATACTTTGCACTTTTTTGTTGTTTAATTTGGGAGAATCACCCTTTCTTAGAAAATTATTATAGGATAATGTTAGTGTATCATCTATATGATATATTAAAATAATGAGTACGAGGTGACAACTAGTTTGTTAAATGGGGTTACCTAGACGTAGGCATGTGGTGAGGCCCATCCTGCTAGTCATGTCGCACGTATGTCTATATGTATGTGTGTATATAGTGTTCTAGTTTTTCGAGTAATAACATCCACATGATACATGGTTTAATGCCAGTAAATAATTATTTGATACGAGTCACCTGACGAGCACCCTTGATCGCGGAATTATCAAGAGTGAGTTGTGAAGAAGACAATAGAAAACACAAAGAATTGAGTTGGGCGAAGGAAAATATCTTCTCTAGATTATGAGAAATAATAAATTACAAATCTCTCCCTCATAATCTCTCTAGATCAAAGAACAAACTCTCTGATTTCGTTTCTGATTACAATCTGGTTCTTCTTTAGATCAAAACTGATCTCTCTTAGACCTTATCTCCTTAGATCTACATCTCTAACAATCACCTCCGTTTAGAAACCCTAAACAATCTCTATTTATAGAGTTTACAACGTGGATGGCAAATCTGTAAATAAACAAGTTCAATCAAATCAGGAAACTGTGTCAATCAAGAGTCCTAAAACGCCCAGGAACCCGACGCGATTGACCACAACATATAGCGTGACATGCTGCGGTCGACCGGACAGAGTCCAGTCTCAAACCCTGCACTGTGCAAGTTGGCGGTCGACCATGCATGTTGCCGCGGTCGACTGGTCAGAGTTCTGCCAGTTTTTTCTGTTCTCTGCGTTTCGCTCCTTCTAACTTCTTTCGTCGCCTTCTATGGCTCCATCCACACTCCTATTCCCAAGATATCATGAGAATCGTCTATCCTCAAGCTCCCATGAGGATCACTAAGCTCCCGAAGCAGAGAAGAAGATACACCCGTATCATTATTAGAAAAAATGTCAAGAATGTACCTCAAGAGTTTGTGTTTTTCTATGAATATTGAACATTTTTTACGTTTTTACATGGTATGGTGTTGGTGTTATAAGCAAGATTTTCGCACTTGAGTGTCCATCCATATATAGGGTGACTGTTATCTTTATAACCTAGTAAGTAAGAATATCCATTATTAGTAAGTTTCATCTGTTGCTTACTTTCTAGTAACTCTTCTGGCTTAGACAACTAGAAACATAATTGTTTATTGTGTTCCGTAAAATCACGATGTTAGGGGATGTCTGTACAAATAACATCAGATTACCAGGAGAAAAATCTTTATGGTTTTGATGGTTATACTGTCCTTTTGCCTACGCGGTTTAGATTTTATTTGGTTCACTGGCCATGATAATACCTTTAATCTTATTAAATTGCCTTCTAGTTTCATGGCTAGGGTTACGCTTCAAAGTCTTGAAAGGGTAGCTGCTATATCGATCAGTCGGTTGCAGGCTGTCTGTCACCGTTTAATTAAAATTTTTGTACACTACATTTGCACTTGGTCACCATCTTCCATTTCAGTAATTGAATCGAAATTCGGTATACATTGCTTATGTGTATATTGCCATTTCAGAAAGGGCAAGGGTAGATGATGGTAGTGATGAATCTCGATGCTACACCCCGAAACTTGCATGCTATCTTTACTATTATCTATTTATGGCGTAGCTTTCTATTTTATTACACGCGACCTTTACCATTGTTTGACTATGATTTAGTTTTTTCTTTGAATTACAAATTTATGCTGAAACCTGCAACACCTTTCGTCGCCAGTTCGAAATCCTGTAACACGTCCTTTATCTTTGAAATGTCATCTCTTGCTCTTAATCGAACTTAAAAGGTGGAAGGAGTTTGTGCATATATTACATTATTTTTTGTGAAATATACTTCGATTCTGAACCATTTTTGTTGCTGCAATATTCAGTTATAAGGATAAAGAGTTAAGGTATCGTCTGATTGGTGTTGTGGAGCATTTGGGAACATTTTCAGCTGGTCATTATGTTGCATATGTAAAGGGAGTGCTAAGAGAAGGCAATTGCCCTGTCTGGTTGAAGGCTAACGACAATAGTCCAGTTCGTGAGGTTTTACCGAAGGAAGTCCTCAAAAGCATGGCCTACATTTTATTTTTTGAAACAATGCAAGATTAAGGAATAAGGTACGTACATTTACATAACCGACTAGTCTTTTGGGATATGATGTGAATATTATAGATGTAGGTTTATGATGTATGCTTGTTGGTGGTTATATGACCAAAATAGAACAGTTTTGTGAAATTTTGATTGTAAATATTTGCATGTTGGCTTTATTAGCAAAATAGAACAGCTCTATGAAGTTTTAGTAGGAAATATATGCATTTTGGGGACATGACAAAGTGGAATTTTTCTGGGAAATTTGATAGTATGGATGATTAATTTATTGGGATTTTCACGGCTAATATTTGCAGTGAAGTTAGGGATCCTTTTGGTTTGTTGATCTAATGCTATTAATCTTCACCTGAAAGCTTTCATAGAGGACCATAACCAATGCTGCCAGCTGTTTGAATATTATCTTCTTCAACACCCCCCCCCCCCCCCCCCCCCCCTCCCTCCTCCTTCCTTAATATTTCTTCTATGAACTGCCTACTGTATTCTTGAGGTGTTACCCTTTGTGTGAAGAGATAACTAATATGTGTTTATAGTTACAGAAGTACACTATAAAGTTTTAGCATACACAATTTGAGTTTCTAAAGTAGATACATTAAATATCCCCCATACGAGAGTATAATCCTGAATACACTCTGGATCATTATTGCTGTAGGGCTATACCCGTGCTAGAATTAATATTCATATCACCACTCCCGTGCTCAGAACTTGAGATTGGTCGTCATCTTCATCTTCATCATCTGTATTTTTTAGGATAAATGGCTGTTACCGCTCCAGTTGAAAGCTTTATGAAACTGCGTTTAACGTAACTATAAGAGTTTAACAATATCTAACCTGATCGTATATCCTTCTCAACTTTTCCTTTTCCTTCATTACCGATCTGTTTCCATATCACAATGCATATGAGTCTCCACCAGTAAATATGGAATATAAGCAGTGTGATGAGCAGCGTGCTGCCAGTATAATACATGCTCATAGGGAAGTCGTCCACAACCAGCCGCGAGTCATAACTGAAATGTCGTCGTCACAATCGTCAACTCTTTATATGTCAACTCTTTATATGTGCAATTAATGAAACCGAGAGATGGTTATATGATCGACAATGCTTACAAACCTGAAGGCTTTTATTATCCAGAAGGGAAAGACAATTAGCCGTAATATTAGCCATGAAATGGCGAAAAGCCCGAAACAGATGAGGGCTCCTGTTTCCATTTCCAGGTACTTGAAGATCTTTGCTGCCTCCAAGAACACATCACTTGTGTCATGCAAAGCTAGAGTGATGGTTCCGAGCCTAAGTAATCTGCAGAGCAAAATTCCATGGCGATGCTAGATAGGTTATCGGATCAAAACTCTAATACCATGTAACTGTTTAGATGCATCTACAGTAGCATAGGGAGTAATTAGGCAGTATTGTCCTTAAAATTTTTATGAGCAGCTAAAATCCCTGATGGGCTGCTCTTTCTTATCTATAGGGCTGTCCAAACGGGCCGGGAAAGCAACCATGCCTGGATCCGGACCAGGACCGGGTCGGATCGCTAACAAGGGAGAGTTACTATAGATTTATGACTGATATTATACGCCTTCACCACATACAACTAAACCTCATTCCATGTGTTTGCGGTTCATTTATAGTTTTATATATGTTGTATGCATCATTTTCTGGCTGCAGTTGATGAGCTAGTTAACTTGTTTCTTTTCTTTTGACGATATGTGAATAATCTTACCAAGTGTCTTCATTTGAAGTCCCAAGGCAGTGCACTAAGAGCATCTCCAACAGCTTCCCAATCTTCTTAAAATACTCAATTTTGAGGAATATATAGAGCTATTTTTAGGTCCAACAGTTTTTCCATCTCATTCCCTAAAATAGGGATGGAGAAGAAAAAAAAGAGTGTCTTTCCTCAAATCTGCAGCATTCTGCAAAAATTCTTCCTTTTCTAAATTCTTGAAAGTAACATTATCATAAATATCTTACATTCTTCAAAGAAAAAATATATATCTAATACTTTTTTGAGTTTTATATTGTTATAATAAAATATTAACCATTTATTTTCTTAATTATTATTGAGTATGTAGGATGTTTTATAGTTGTAATAAATGTCTAAATCCCTAAAATGGAGAAACTGTTGGATTTGGAGCAAATTTTTTTTAGAGAATTTGACATTTTGCTTTCCTATTTTAGAGAAATTATGGTGAAGCTGTTGGAGATGCTCTTAAGACTTTTAAGTGTTTATGACCGTCTGTGGTCATTTCCTGGCCGGGCCGGGTGTCACTCGAGTTGTCTGGGTCCGGGCCGGCTTGGAATCCGGATGGGTCCAGGTCAGAATTGGGCCTGGTCATAGTTAACGGGCCTTTTGGACAGTCTTAGTCTCTATAATTGTACTGTCTTTTAGTATTAGGGGGTGTATGTTCATGACTTGTAGGCCGTTTGGGTTGCTGGAAAAATAAATCATAGCAAATGTTGCACGCAACATCTTGCAGGAAATCAACTCAATTGGAATTCTACAATTTTATTATGGAAAATGTGTTTCCAATGTAAATTCAAAATTTAAAAAAAAAGAAATAGAAAAATAGCATGTGCAATGCTACGTGATTTCATCATATAAGGATATTCAGGTTTTAGATTGTTTTCCTATTCGGAATAGGGATTTATTTTTTTTTATTTTACATTTTATTTTTTTGATAGGTGGAATTATTTTTCCCTTTCTTGGATATGCAACTTTTGCTTCCACCATATTGGCTGCAACATTTGCCGCAAATTTGTCTTCAAATTGTAAGTTTATAAGTCTTCGCTAATTATTATGTTGTAAAAAAAAAATGGCAATTCAATCTTGACATGTTTCATAACTTGCCACCATTGAGCTTTAGGTCTGCCAGCAGTAAATCAAAAGCACTAGTCATGCAATATAAGATCATGCAATTGAAAAGAATAATGAGGTTCAATGATAACTTCGCTGAATTGTGAAGTAGTAACAGGAAAGAGAGATCAAATTTGACATTGAAAGATCTGGGTTTTGAGTTTCTTGGTATTTAAGAATTTCTATTAAAATATTGTACAATATTAAAAGCAAGAATATAAGCAAAAGGGGCGTAGCCAGAGCTTGCTTGCCATGAGCAGCTGCCCAGAGCAAGAAACTCCGCCTCCCCCACGACCTCTTCCTCCTCCCCTCGCTCCCCCCCCCCCCCCGCCACTTCACCTCCCTCTCCCGCAGATCCAACCTCATCTCCCTCCTCTTCCAGGACCTCCATCTCAACAATCCCCAACCCTCCTCCCTCTCACGCGCTTCCCTCTCGTACACCACCTTTATTTTTTACCCAGGGCAAAAAATATTCTTGACTATGCCACTGATAAGCAAAGCATTTACTAGACTTGCAGAAGAATTACCTGATGTGAAAAGTTAATTCCATCGAAACTGAAGTAATTATGTGATGAGACATCATAATGGGAAAATCCTTTCTTCGAGTTTCCCACTTGACAAGAGCGACAATGCTATACAGGTAAAATCCATATTGGCACGTGAAGAAAATCTCCAATGAAGAGCTAATCAAAGTTAAAATTATCAATAAATAATCTGCTCATGTTGCCGGCTAAATTTTAAAAAAAAGAATTGAAAGAACTACTCACTCTATTTCTCCACCTGCCCATTCTCTGAAGTACTCTTTTGTATTTAGCCACCAATAATCTTGTAGCATGATTAAAGCAACCCAAAGTTGCATGCTCACATAATATGTCAGCTTCCACATTGACTCTGAACATTTCACAATCTTTGATCGCCGAGCGTCATCATTGATCATATTCATACTACCTCCACATCTCAATAACAACACACCGGCCAAGGGCTGAAGAAAACACGCACCAATAAGCAATTCGTATAAGTATACATTTCTCATCCTTTCTAAAGGTGCAAAAAATTTACATCTCATCTTCAGTTATAGCAGTCATAGTCAGCTTGCAACTGATTTTGCTAAATGAGCCATCAAGATATATCCATTCACGAAATGTGATCGGTAGGAATAAATTTTAGGAGGCAGCTCATTAAGCAAAATGAGCTGACAAATCTTAGTAACTTTTTTTTCCATATAGAGGTTACGTGATACAAATCGTCATCTTATTTTGCAAAACGGACTACCAGAAGTTAGAAGCGAGCGACGACGACCTCCTGCTCCTTCTGCATAATGAGCAGGATGGCCCATAATTTTCCATCTCTGATAGATCATTTAGCAAAATAAAATACTACATCATGTACATACATAAGACATATGTACACAAACATACATCATGTATAACTGACCTTGAAGATGAAGGTATCTAAAAGAAGCCTAGCAACGAAGAAGCAGAGGGCAAAGCAGACGGCTAGTAAGAAATGTGACGTCATCTCTAGTAGCATTTCTTTGTTATTCTATTTTGATAGGGTGCTCTATAAATAGTCAAATCAAACGCATATCGAATTCTTAAATAATGACTTTAAGCTAGTTAGCTACTGCTAATTATTAATTTCTCTACGAGTGAGCAAACTGTTCTATCACAATCCGGCCAACTAGAACTTTGATAACTTAAAAAGAGAGACCATTAAATTTATGTCTATATCAGTATTCGTGGTCATTTATACTTGTTCATTGCTCATGAATTTTCAACAGTAGGCTTTAAATAGAATTAATTAATCCTCAGCTCAGTTAGTTCCATGTAGTTTTCATATTGGAACTCGGTTTATAATGACATTGGCACCGAAGACTGCATGATTGCATGTGTCACGTTGCTCATCTAAGTGGGCATGAGAGTTAAAATATATGATAGTAAAGGGTATTATATATATTCTATATATTAAGAAAATCTCTCAAAGAATTCCATTCTCTACAAAGTTGTAAAAAAAAACACAATGGAGATCATTTTTTTTTTGAGCTGAAAAAACAGGGAGAGATTCCATGTTCATAAAATATATAAGTTTACCAAATTGTAATTATACAAACTGAACAAAAGGTGTAGCGAGGAAACATGGGACTAATTGTACGATAGGGAGCGGACCTTGTCGTCACCTATCAGCACAAGAAGCCAATGATTCGTCCCCCACAACAGAAAAAACTACTATATTACAGGGAGACTGTCAAAAGGAAAACTACACGCGGAATATCAACCACTCCAGTATTTCTAAGTGGGCATGTACACAACTCTAAGTTCTGCTCATCTAAGTGGGCATGTGAACCCAACATATAATTTTGACTGTGGTCATCATAATTTTAATACGTTTGATTGATTGATATCATAGTTTTGAGAGCTATACATATTATTTATATATAGGCCTTGAATCCAAATTCTGGACTATGCAGGAGTACTCAGCTGATTGTGATTAGAACCAGAACTTTGATTTCAATCAAACTTCTGAAATTACTTGTACAACATTAGATATTACACTCTGCACCGTTACTATTTTCTGAAATTACTCGTACAACATTAGATATTACACCCTGTACCTTTTGTATGATTTTGGTGTTAATGAGGAGGGTGTAATATTTTGAATCCATATATTCTGTTAAACTCTTTTAAATGAAATGCGGGGGGTCTCCGACTATTTAAAAAAAAAAAGTAGAGCAAGGTAATCCAGAAAAATTTATTGATTAGAAAAAGGATGCAAAATGTGAAGTAGGGGAGGAAGAAGGAGAAGTATTGTACTGAACTATAAAGTTTTCATGTACACAACTTAATTAGAGTTTCTAAAGTATGATCCACTGAATATCAACCACTCCAGTATTTCTCAGAGCAACTAGAGATTAGTCCTCATTTTCATCATCTGCTTTTTTTTTTGGATAAATGTTAGCATATACAAGTTTCCACCAGTACATATATATATATATGGAATATAAAAGAGTGATCAGCATCGCATTGACAAATATATATAATATGAACTCAAGGGCAGTAGTCCAAATCCATACCTCATGATAAATGAAAATGTCTTCACAATCATTAACTGTTAGGAAAAAAAATGTAAATTTCTTATACTCCCCCGTAAAGTTTGTAATCAAATTCTAAGATAACTCCTTTAAACTTTATAAATGTCACCTAACCCCCTAAACTTTGAGGCTTGTCACAACACCCCTCAAATCTTCGCAATGTTTCCAACATACCCCCTTAAGGACGTAATGGGAGTTCTCTGAAACCTCATCAAAAGTTCGTAGGGATTTTCTGGAAGTATTGTTGACAGTTTGGGTTTTTAATTTTAGATATAATGTTTAAAGTCACAGGGTATATGTTGAAAAAATTGGGGTTTACACAGCTAAGGGGGGTATATGTTGGAAAAAATTGGGGGTTGTACTGTTAGAAGGCTTTTCTTTTAATTGAAAATGTTTGAGGGGGTTTGTGACAAGCCCCAAATTGGTTGTGTACGAGGGGTATATGTGTGTTTTTTTTTATAATAATCATTTATGTAAGGTGCTCATCTCAAAATATATAGGCCGAAGTTTAGGGGGTTATGTGCATGAAATTTACTCAAAAAAAATCATATGATGAAATGAACTGGTATCTATAATGTCAACAATCCAGAGCTTATTTGCTCAAATCTCTATAATATTGATCAACTTTTCATTAAAATCTTAGGGCTAGCTAATTGAGACACCCCCTATACTACAAAGCTAGAACTTGGTCGTTTATCATCGCAGTAGGTTTTTGCTAGCTCTGAAATGTGTCATGATGTCTAAATTAGAATTATCTCTGTTATCAAAGAATAAGAGGGTCTTTGACTCTTTGCTACATATTGAGATATTAAAGGTTTCATACAGGAGATAAACAAGAATGAAACAATAATAGATTTATAAATTTGTTGAAACAATAATAGATTTATAAAACTGTTGAGTAGAACTTTATCAAAACAGTAATAAAATATCAAATTTGATGATATGAGAAATTTGATAAAGCAAGTCACGAGTCAAGTGATTATGTGACGCGACTACATAATTGGTGGGGAAAAGAGTTGACAAAGCAGTATGATAAGAGTAAAAATATATACTCTTGTCTTTTAGTTGTAGCATAACTATACTCTTTTATTATGTTTTTCTTTTCTTCACATTTCAGCGTATAATGTTTCTTTACTAAACATTGTTCTAAATACCACAAGATAATTATAGGGTTTTCGAAATGAATCAAACAACAATAAACCCTAGGAAAAAATAATCTAATACACATGATTAATACAAAAAGGAAATTAACAATAGATGCGGAAGTGTACCTGGATCCATGAATTAATTTGTAAAAAAATTTGCCGAAAGGGGTTGGGATCTTCTAATCTAGATGGCCTCTCCAAAATTCCTCTCTAGATGGTGGTGAAGAGAAATTTGAGAACGTGCCACTAGATTAGGGACCATAACCCATTAAGTAGTTATTGCAATTTCTAATTTAGCCCCTCACCAAATTAGAAATAGTAATCCGGTATCTACACGTTTGGCTCACGACACATTCAATACTTATTGACCCAATTTATCTGATTGATCACTTTACGCGAGTCAACTATAAAGGATAACACTACACACTAATATCACATATGTGCCCACAATTTAGATTTAATCCAACAAACATCACTACTCACTCATTCTATTAACCCATTCTCCGAATTAGTCTCTTGTATTCAGCCACCAAAAATCTTGTGCCATGATCCAAACAACCCAAAGTTGCAGGCTCAAATAATAAGTTAAGCTTCCACATTGGCTCTGAACATTTCTAGGTGTTAGACAGCCAAGCATCATAATCACTCGCATTACTAGTAGCTCCACGCCTCAGCAAACTTGGCTGGAGAAAACATGTTCAAAACTAATTTAATATTAAAAACAATCCATAGAGATATACTCCTTATCCATTTTTCAAAATTATGCGCGATATAAATGCATAAGATTCATATTCATATTGAACATAAGCTGCGACATCATTCCGAAAAATGAGCTATCAATGTATGAGATTCATATTCAAATTGAACATGAGCTGCGACATCATAAAAATAAGCTATCAATAGATAAGAACTTAGAAAAATGAGCTATCAATAGATAAGAACTGTGAAGTGCAATGCGACGAATATGGTAGATCTCACAATTATCGCTCTCTTGATAGCTCATTTAACAAAATGAACTATCACCTCATATCCAAGTTTTTTTTCCAAATTATACATCGTATTCATTTAATAACCAGAGTCAGTGTGCTTTGTGCGTGCTCACACACATGTATGCATGCATACACATATACACACACATAAAAGCAAATGGGGATTGGTGTGTTGTAGATACGAAACATGTTGCACATCAGCTATAATCCAAATATATCGATAATCTTTATTATAGTGGCTTTGGAAGTGAGCGCGCGTTGGGCTACCTATTTATGCTACTTAGGATGTAGATACTATTGGTCCAAATCTAAAAGTTGAAATTTCCAAATTGAAAATCCGTCAATTAGATATGTATTTATGTATAATGCATATATACACAAATACACACCTATGTGTGTGTTAAGAATATCATAAAGTCCCTGTATACTTGACTTTGAAGATGAAGGTGTCTAAAAAGTATTCTAGCCATCATGAAGCATAGAGCCACAAATGTGATGCCTCTAACGCCATAGTTTTTGCCGTCTTAATTTTATTCCCGTAATGTGCAGTATAATTAAATTATGAGAGAGATTGTCAACTACTTATTAATTTCTTTCTAGTAAACAAACAATTAATCTATCTCCATCTGCCCAACGATAAAACTTCATTGTTGAAGCTTTTGATGGAACTTGAGGGTAACTTAAGGCAACCACTAAATAGTTTGTCACAATATTCTTAATCAATTGTAAGTATTCATTGCTCATTAATTTGCTACAGTGGGATTTAAATGGAAATGGTTATCAGTTAACTAGTTCCCTGTTTTTTTATAATGACACTGAATTATATCAAATTGCTTATTTAAGGAGATGAAGGGATTTTAGTTAGATTGGTTCAATGGGAAAAGTATCAAGTGCACCCAGTTTCATGGTATTAAATGTGCACTCAAATGATATCAATTATTGGATTATTAGATTATGAGATTCGTTCATAAAAAGTCCAGATCAAACGGTTAACATTCGGGTCCGCATTTAATGTCATGGACAGTTTCCACCTGATACCTTCTCGATCGTTTGCTAGTTGTCATATGGATTCGAATTGGCTCGCTTTGGGTTTACTTGAATTTCAAAATTAACTTTCATGGTTTGTCACCTATTTTTGTTATATATTGAGTTTGAGCTTAATTTGTATAAGAAAGTTGGTTCAAATTACTTGTTTATGGGTTCATATTGGTTTTCCCTCCAAATAAACTTGATCTACGTTGATTTGAAGGGGACAAAAAATTGATCTGCCTTTTGGATCTATTGTACTATAGGCCACATTCGTGTCCAT